TATTATGCCAAAATGTAAACTAATTTCACTAGTGCGGGCTATTGACCAAGCTCCAACAGTCTGCGAAATGCAAACAAACAGACAAACTTATATTTTTAATATTAGGTGAAGATGAAGAGTAAAATACTGAGACCTCTGATACTAATAAATAGACTTGGAAATGGTCTTGGAAGTTGGAAATTTGCGATGAAGGATGAACGGTGGATATTACCTAAATGGTAACCAGAATACATTATTCATTTAACATGGAAACATAGCAACCGTTGCAGTGTAATTATACTGTATTCACAAGAGAGTGTTAAAAGTAATTATCCTGGGAAAATGCAGTGTTTCATTCTTTCTCAATTACGAATACCAGCCACACAGGGAAATTTAATATTGTTGCAATTAAATGGGTGGACGAGCTGACGGCCCACCTGGTGTTGAGTGTTTACCGGACCTCTTAGACATCTACAATGTAAACGTCGCTACCCACTTCGAGACATGAGTTCTAAGACCTGTTTTTACAGTACATCAGCTGCCCCATCCTTCAAACCGAAATGCATTACTGCTCCACGGCAGATATAGGCGGGGTAGTGGTACCTACCCGCGTAGGCTCACAAGACATCCTACTACAATTAAATATCTGGTGTGTAATGTTGCAGGTTGGAGTGGCCGGTCCGGACGCTGTCGTTTAGCTTCGACGGCAGGCTGCTGGCGTCCGCGAGTGAGGACCACATCATCGACATCGGAGACACGGAGACAGGTTCGTCTATTTTATATTCATTTACGGTCAGCGGTAACGGTCCATAGTTACTAACTTGACTTCACAATTTTGTTTGTGACTGTACGGGACTCCAGTACCGAAAATTGGAGGGATAGGGACTAGGGGTAGAATAGAAACAAATTTGGTTTGTCAAAATGCTGAGATTTAAATTTGTTGAATTGAAAAGGACTTTTATTTTATATTAAATTAGTCATCAGAGTTTCGTATTAAAGATATTAAAAAGTTAATTACCTTTAGGTAAGTGCCTACTTAACAGCTAAACAGTGCCAGCCCTATCGAGCCCCCTCCCCCCAATCTGCTGTACTTTGTTCAGACAGCGTGCCGAAGTACAGCTATAAAGAAAAGTGCATAATAATTGGCAAGTTTAGCCAGACTAAGTGACGGAAGGACTCAAAATGCCAACGCCCCAGTCAGATCTAAGATCGTATCAAGAGGACTTTGCAACAGGGTTGCCTTCGAAGCCGCAACCCTCATCAGTGCGGGAACAACTTGAGGAGGTGAATGCGGAGCTTCGACTGCCTAAAGAGTCTTCACACGAACAGCTCCCAGAGTGAAGCAGTAAGCCTTATGATTGAGGTTAAGAGCCTCGATGAAGGATTAGGACTTTTTTTTGTGGTGGTACCTAACCGCGTGGACTCACAAGAGGTCCTACCACCAGTAACCCCCTGTTAACCTCTCCTGTTTCAGGGGAGAAAGTAGCAGAGATCCCGGTGTCGGCGTCCACGTTCACGGTGTCGTGGCATCCCGCGCGCTACCTGCTGGCCTTCGCCTGCGAGGACAAGGAGCCGCCCGAGAGGAAACGGGATTTGGGGAATCTCAAACTGTGGGGACTCTCTAGTTCTTAGTGTTGGAAGTGCGATATACAAAATAAACTAAAATACTAAAAAGGATTGTGTGGTTTTATGAAACCACGGTAAAAGTCAAACTTTTTTTCACATTCTAAACATTTAACTCTGACAAACAACATTTACATTAAACAGTGACAAAAACAAAAACAAAATAGCGTGGAGCACTGGCTCAAATGAGTAACAGTCTATACACTACACGGTCAGCCGCTGCGAACTATAGGCGCCGCCATATTGGCCTTGGCTGCTCTGACGAGCACCTTTCACTTTATTCCTACTCCGCGGCCGACCGTCACGCGACATGCAACACACAGACGAAAAAGTTTGAGACGATGTAATAAAAGTTTAAATTAAAAATTTATTTAAACTAAAATATCCCCTGATAGTCGAAATTCGACTATAATTAATTGAAATTATAAGTTTGTAAACTACTATGATTCTATTGTCAAATACTTCTATAATAACAGATTTCGCCAAGACTACACTATAAACAAATATTAATAAAATAAAAACAATATTTAATCTATTCTCAATTTGACCACAGACTACAATACAAGCAATAAGAAAAGTTTGACAATAAGCAAATAGTATGCATGTAATAGCAACCTAAACTGACAACAACCTATAAATCAGCAATTTATCAATTCTACACTATATATTTGTTGAATTGCATATTAAAGCATAGTCCAAAACAGTTACTTCATCAGGAACATCTATCTATTGAGTAATAATAATACCATTATGTAATAATCATTGTATATTCATTTATTTATGATAAATGGCAAATAGAAACATTTTACATACATAATAATATTTATTTAATAACGTAATAATTATACTTATCTTTTAATTCACAATGTCCACACTTATACACAGTATCAAGCCAGAGAGAGAGCTCCGCACCGCCCGACGTCTCAACCGAGAATGAATCGAGATTGGTCGGCGCAGGGGCTTTTGTAGGCGGTGACAAACAACTATGCGTCATACTTGTTTGTCATCGCTCGAACGTTGGCTTTAATTTAAAATTGTATTTACTGCAATTATTTATAAATATATTATTACTTAATTTACTAACATATTTCTATACCTATACATTTGTGTTATATATCTATACCTATACATAGGCATAAGCTATCACATGCGTGTGTGTGTCAAATACATGGGTAGTGTTTGTAATGTTTTTATTTATTGACTTAATGTATTTGTTACGCATAATTGAAAAAAAATATTAACATTCTTCACTCCTCTATATTCTCTATAAGTGTGGGAAATTTCATACTCCTCCGTCCGCGCAATTTTCGTAAAAATGGATACAAAGTTTTTGCTTCACGTATATATATAGATCCTCTTTTCGTTTGCGAATAGAACTGCGAGCATGAGTGTCGTGTTACTAATCCATAGTCCGTCACAAGCCGCAACGTGCGAGCGAGACAGATGCACGGGAAATCAGTACCTACGTAACGTGACGTCTTCTATGTTGGAAACATTTTAGTACAGAGGGATCTTATGTACAAACTAAACCACGCTCATACTCCTTGATATGAAAGAATCTCTGAATTTAATTTCTCAGAACGTAATAGTTTCTTAAAAGCGGTATGTTTTTGGAATAAGATTTTTCTTGAAATTTCTTTAAAAAACACTACTTAGAGATTTTTCAATAAAAAATATAAAAATCCCATAAGACACATCAATTTCTTATGAGTTATTTTAATAAGCGGTTCTGATTTATACATCTAGATTGTTCTATATCGAGTTTAACGAGGGACGGTTTTATTCTGAAATGAGCTCAAATGGTTTTTTAAGCAAACTATAGTAAAATTATTTTGTCCGTGCAGTTTGGGTAATATAAAATCGGAGCGGTGAAGCGAGTATTTCGCTCTCTCTTCCATTCAAGAGCCTTATGGACGGGCATAGTGATGCGTATTATTGTTGTCGATAAGCATTATCGATAGTGTATTTAGTTTTGTCGTTTTGTGGGTTAGTGATAAAAAGAAAGAAAAAATCACTAATCGAACACTTACACCACACATCGCCGCAGCAAGTTAACGAGAACGGCAGAAATTAACACTTTGTAAATTTTCGGGATCTATTCTTATTTCAGTAATTATTTTTAACACATTGTTGATAACAACATGTGCAAATATTATTTTGAATAAATTCTGCCGTTTTGATACAAAACAAAGGAGTAGCCATTGTGTCCCTAAAGAAATTCAGAGAACGAATGCATAAAAGCACATTTCTCTTCGACATATGTACTATAATTTGCAGGTAGGTACAACAAATGACTCATAACATAACAATGTCTCACCACCCTTCGTATACCGCCCCGCCGCCGTGTACCTGCCTTCGCTGACTCATTTGTTTTTATCGATAATGGCGTTGCGCCCGCGTAACATGCTCACCGCTCTAGCCGGGCTATGTTTTATGACCCAAACTGCACGGACAAAATAATTCTACTATAATTTCAAGTAGGTACTTACTAGTTTTTTTAAGTAAAATAAAAACTTTTATACGTAAATTATAGTTTTATTTATATAATTTTATTGATGCATTTTTGTTGAATTTTCGAACTTTTTTCCTAAAAATATGTAATCAGTCTGTTTTTAAAACGCACATTTAATTATTCATTATTGAGGTACTTTTGCGCGTTAACCTGTTGCCCTCGGTCAGCAAACGGGCGAACTCGACTGTCCGAGGTAATTAAAAAATCAAATAATTTAAAAACACAAAAACATAGTTCAAGTACCATTTTCTCTACTGTCAACATTTTGTTTTGTTGTTTTTGTTTAGTTAGATATCGAAGCAAAGTTATTGTCGAACTTTAATTAATACGAGGACCTATTAAGTCTTTCCTTATGAAGTTATCATTTGGTATACAGTGTGCTTAGTGCGAGTTTTTTAACGTTCTCGATAGCGTAAAAGTTTAATGTTTGCCTACGTTTGCCGCTAGGAGCGCTGTTCCAAATTCGATACAAATTTGAGTTAACTTTTACGCTATCGAGAACGTTAAAAAACTTGCACTAAGCACACGGATAGTTTCAGTGTACTTCTTGAAGAAATGAGGCGTACGGGACTCAACAAATTTCAAAGGCAATTTGTACTATCTTTCGGGTTTTGAGTTTTTACTCAGCTGAGAAGCTCAAACTGGAAAAAGTGGAGGTCTGTCGGCGTAAGTCTGGTCTGGTCTGATTTTGTAGCTTAGAGGCCGCTGTTGGGCCGGAGGAGGTCGGGCGCCGGAGATTAGAGAGCTTCTTATCTCATACATAACCCAACTCATACATGTGAATAGGAGATGTATGGAAATGGTAGTGCAAGGTAGAGGGGGAAGAGGTCGAATGAAGAAGACATGGATGGAGTGTGTGAATGATGATATGAGAGAGAGAGAGTGAGTGTTGAAATGACTACTGATAGAAGAGAATGGAAGAGAAAAATTCGTTCGAAAATTGGCAAATATTTTGAAATGACAACTTCATAGGTAAGCACAGGTATTTTATAGGAAATATTAATATTAAAAGAACAACAACAAAACAACAGAAAACGTCATATATATAGGTCGAAATTGGATCATTAAGCTAACACTTATTACTAAAGTAATATCTCTAACAAATAAAATTATCGTAACTCGATATTTGTGACGCAATTGACTATCTAAATCTAATTCGCAAAATATACAAACAACTAAAGAGGTGTTTTGAAGTATTTTGGTTTCAAATATAATATTATTGTCAAAATACATTAATATTTAATATTCGATGACTCCGGCGCTCCTAGTACCAGCTACGCTACAAGAATAGTTACATCTAAACAAATTTACATCTACAACAACAACAAAATTTACAGTCCCACCGTGAATCGAACCCGGACCCCCAGCGGCTCCAACGATCAGAATAGTATACGAGAAGACTCGCGTCGGTCGGACGAGAGTACTACCAACCTGACGGTGAACGATCACCGTGGTTTATGGATTCACACTGCCTTCTCGACGGATGAGAATGTTTACCATCGAATTTTTTTATAACGCCATCTGTCGCTCGATATGCGGACCACGGGCTTTCTCTACCACAACACATAAAATCCAGTGAATTATTCAGTTTTGATCCGTCGTTGGTAACCTTGTGAAGTCCGCGATGCTACCCAGCTGGAGTACCAGGCATCACCAGGTCTCGACCTGGAGGCGACCTTGCTCCTGCAGGCTGCGCACGGCGTCGCTGCTGGCGGCCGCGCTGGTCCCGGAGCACACCCGGATGACGTCAGCGAGCGCCTCCCGCACGTCGTCCGGCATGCTCTTGGCGTTGCCGGATATGAACACGTGGGCGTTGTTGTTCAGCAGTCGCCAGATCGTCTCGCGGTTCTCGAATATCTTGTGCTGGACGTAGCTGTGGAAACGAGACCTCTTACTGGTGGTGACTTTTTGGCGGGAACGCGAGGAGTTTTTACTGGTGGTAGGACCTCTTATGAGTTCGCGCGGGTAGGTGTCACCACCCTGCCTATTTCTGCCGTGAAGCAGTAATGCGTTTCGGTTTAAAGGGTGGGGCAGCCGTTGTAACTATACTGAGACCTTAGAACTGATATCTCAAGGTGGGTGGCGCATTTACGTTATAGATGTCTATGAACTCCAGTAACCACTTAACACCAGGTGGTCTGTGAGCTCGTCCATCCATCTAAGCAATAAAAAAAAAGAGACAGAGTGTTGGTACACAGCGTGCACCCGGGGACAGCGACGCAGTGCCGGCCCCGAGCCGAGAGGGACACCTGTATCTGGCCAGAGGTCGCACGTAGCATTGTCCCTCCATTGACTTCCCTACTCCTCAGTAAAGAGGTCGATAACTAATAAGATATTATATTCTCCTACCACCCGATCCCCCATCTGTACTGCGGCTAAGACGCATTACGAGCCCACACGGCCGATGCCAGTATCCGAGCAATTATTTCTGCTTCGACAGTACTTATTCGTCTTCATTTTAAGGGCGGTACAGTCGCCATCAAAAATCTTATTACATTATAAATAAAAAGTGCTCCAGTAATTGCTCCACTTATTTGTAATACATTGCGTACAAGGAGACGCGTTCGTCAAACACCATTTTAGGCTCCGGTGTGTTGAGAGTTATCACACCGACGACCCTCAGTACTACGATCACTCCCAACAATACTACCGAAGTGGTGAACAAATATAATTATCTCCAACTCACATCTTATCTTCCTGGTCTCTAGAAAAAGCGCAGTACAAACTCAAGTTCCCGTCTCCCACCATCCCCTCCAACTCTTCCCTGCAGTGGTAGTCCTTCTCTTTGTACCGACACCCGAAGAACAGATGCATGATGTCCTTGGACGCTGTGCCGTAGTGAACCCTTTCTTGGAGCAAACTCCTGAAGGGAGCGAGCCCCGTGCCTGGCCCCACCATTATGTGAGGCACGCTCTGAAAGCCACAAACAGTTATTGTAGTGCTGAATTTTCAAATATATTTTAAAAGTTATCCGTAATATAAATTAAAATGTAATTTATTTATTTATAGAAGTCATTTTTAATTTATTGTATTGTTTAGAGTTTAGCTTATTTATTTAAAAAAAAAAATCTTTTGATTGAGGACAGCTGTTTACAATACAATCTTGATACTTTAATGGGTGGCCTATGGGCTCAGGTGACTTCTTTACATCAAATAGGCCTTGAACTCTTTAACCTGAGCATGAATGAAACCTACAATAATATGAGCATTCACCTTTTTTTCCCTACCTATTCTAGTAACTTTGAGGGGTTATTCTAGATTCACCGAACTAGTAGGTGAGCTCAAGGGCCTCAAACCTGATGTTGTTGCTAACACGAACCCTAGCAATAGCAGTGCTCCGCAGAAACTACCACCGTGTTGGAAACGCAACCCACTGAGAAGATGAACTGGTGAGAAACTCAGTGGATTGTGTCTATGGGTTCATTTACTCGCCGAGCCCTTCGTCGCAAGCGACGGGTTCGATGAGAACGACGACTGGGGTAGCCTAAGGCGTTGGCATTTTGAGCCCTTCAGTTACTATGCCATTTATTATGGCACTTTTCTTTTTAACTGTACTTTGGCGCGCTGTCTGGACAAAGTACAGTAGATTGGGGGAAATCAGGACGCTTTCCAATTCCAATACAAATTTTTTGGGCGACCTCGACTGTTTACCATTCGGTCCGCAGGATCGGGAATGAGCACTCACCGCATCATCAGGAAAAACAAAGGTCCCCTTTTTGATCCACCCGTAGACCTTGTGACCGGGGAGCAGCGCCGCCAGCCAGTTGGAAGCGAGACCGAGGCGGGGGCGGCGCAGCGCCGTGCGGTACCGGACCGCCGCCACCAGCAGCTGCAGGCCGCGCCCCGCCGCCGCGTCGCCACACGCGCTCGCTATCGAGAACGAGCGCGGCTTTATAATCGAGAACAACTCGAACAGCGTCTGTATGGTGAGCCGCGCGGCCGAGCGGTGGAAGTCCTGCAGCACCTGCGAGCACAAGACACTTACTGGTGGTAGGGTAGGTACCACCCCCCGGTGAAGGTCAAGGGTTGATCTGAGGGGGTAGAGGCCGCGCGGCGCGCTACCTGCACTTTAGCAGCTGCCAAAGAGTATCTATAATAGAGCAACCGGTTGGCGGTGTATCGCGTCCCGACTCGGCAGGCTGGTTCTGGTCCAGGAGGGTATTCCGCGGCACCGTCTGGGCGGCCTGACGGGCTGCCGTACCGAGACGGCCGACGTTTCAGAGCCGCCTCGAAGGCTCCGTCGGCTGGGCATCCTTGGGGTGAGCTGCGCTGTCTGATTGTAGTGTTGACCGCAGTAACCCCCTACCGGAGGGGATCGGACGCTTGGGCGAAGAGTGCAGGGGAGTCGTTTAGTGGGTGGGCCCTAAATTGCCTTGGGCCCGCGCGCTCCCTAGGCGTGGGGACCTCGTAGGTGGTTCGACCCCGGCCTGAACAAAAAAAGGGTAGGTACCACCATTCCGACTATTTGTGCCGTGAAGCAATAACGTGTTTGAGTTTGGTTTGTTTTGAAGGGTGGGGCAGCCGTTGTAACTATACTGAGAACTTAGAACCTATATCTTAAGGTGGGTGGCGCATTTACGTTGTAGATGGTCTCGTCGTGGTCGTGGTAGATGTCTATGGGCTCTAAAAATCACTTAACACCAGGTGGGCTGTGAGCTCGTCGACCCATCTAAACAATAAAAAAAAAACTTATACGCACACACGGTTAGAGTGAGCTCAGAAATGTCCTAACGTTGGAAAAACACCCTGTATGTACCAAGGCAAACATTCATGCGCTTAAGAACTCCGATGACCACACTTCTCTGGCTGGGTGGATGTATTTTCATTATAAGGGCTCAAAGAATCTTTTAAAATCAGATGAACCCTCTCGTCACTCATCAAAAAAATTGAACACTTCAGGGACACGTCCCATAGCGTGCAAATATTTAAAATATATCATTTAAATTCTCACTTCTATAACAGTTCTCTTCGTTCTCCTACAATAATTCAGCCAGTCCTCCTGACCCTCAGGGGAACTGAGCTCTATACATTTGTCCCTCTCTAACTTGTCCTGGGACACGAGTGCCAGAATGGAGAAGACATACTGAGTGGCGTAGCATCGCAGGTCCCAATACTGTTCGGCCACTTCGTATAAAGTCAAGGGGTGACGTAGGAACTCTGGCACAGGCATATCTGGAAGGATATTAGTAAGACTGATAATTCAACAAGCTCATCTCTCTTCAGGTGTTAAGCGATCACCTTTGTGGGTTTATAAGTAAAGACTTCAAAATTAACTCTGATTGTGAATGCCCAATACTGATAGGACCATGTAAATTTCAAGATGATACAAAGTGATATTAAAATAGAGCCGATTAATGTTTCCTTAAAAATTAATGTCATTCTTGTCTTATAAAAATACAGGACATGTTTTTTTAAAAGTAAAAAACTTCATTATATATGAAAATATTTATTCATCTTGTTGCCATCCATCATCATCACTGAGGAAGCGTCTCTTGGCAGCCGTATTCATGTAGGGGCGGAGCGCCCACTCGGTGTCGGCGGCCGTCAGGGATTCCAGAGTGCCGAGCTTGATCTCATATAACCTCATTTGGAAACGTGGACCCACTTCTGTTAATTCAATATCCTTGCCTGCCTGGAAATCAATATATATATTGTTATTTTTAAGCTATTGCATAGTTTTTATCGCGGGCCTTGAGCGCGGCTACCGAATCATGAAATTCCGTAACGAAAAAAACCTAACACCCCTCACTCCGCCTACCATGTAGCTCGCGTTCAACACATTCACACGTTGCGCTTGTGTAGTGTTTGTGAATAAGCGCGTGGCGTGACGTCACACTGCATGCGCATCATGAAAGTCTGCCCATCTCTCTCTCGCGCGGTCTAGCTTATGAGTGTGAAGGGGACAGTTAAGGTTTTGCTTTTATTAATGTTTAATATAGCGTGGTCTTGTTTTATTATTGTTTTAATATTAAATTATCATTGTCTTATTATAATTGCATAAGTTGATAAAAAAGCTATGCAATAGCTTTACTGCGGCACTTCCCGAGTGCCACACGTTTTTTTTTATATTAGAAGCTGTTATAATATAAGCATGCTATTCACTAATATCTATCTAATATGTATATAAAGACAAAACAGTCAAAGGCAAAACTATTTTCTGTTAGTAAACTGTATTTTTTTTGTTGTGTTGAGATTAACTTCTCAACTGTTATTCATTTCCATAAAAAACATTTGAAAATATACTTTTTTCATGCAAAAATAAATGACAAAGCAAAAGAGAAGATCTGATTTAAGACAAGTCTTGAGATCAACATGTCAATAAATAATAATTGTAACTAACGCTCAATACCTTTTTATATGTATGTTGCCTGAAGCATATGTAATCATCATGGTTCGCAAATGATATAACTCTCTTCGAATCGGGTTTTGGTACAGGAAACAGGTACTTTAATATACTCATTGTACGTAAACCTGGAATAGGTATCAAAAATAGATTTATTTAAGCTGATAGGAAAATAAATAAATAATAATTTTATGTTTCTAATGGGTAAGTTAAAATTATTGCATGGAGTTTTAAATTAATATTTTTTATTAATTATATTTGACAAAACAAGATTCTAGATTTCAAGATTGAAATAAACAGTGGTATGAAACTGTGTGGGCTTACAACATACTTCACAAAAATTAATCTAGATGTTTCTAACTCACCAAGATTACTCTTAAAGTTATGGAATATGAGATGTGGATACTGTTCGCTCATTGGTCCTATATCAGGTATGTCATGTCTCATCACAACACCCGATAACGTGAAGGATGCTGTTGGACCATATGGGAGGTGGCATATTACCTTAAAACAAAGAAAAAAAGTAAGGATCTATCACATTATGCTATTAAATTAATTTCGCATAATTTATTTATAAAAATTACATTGTTTGTGCTAAATGTTGTGTTATTATTATTAAAATATATATTTTTTATATTTTTGCTGTTATCCAAATTCATTCCACCTAAAACATAATCTAAGCTCACCAAACTGTCTGGAACTCCTCGATGCTCGTGCACAACTATGAAATCGGTTACATCATTGGCTCGACAGGCATGAATCAATTGTGACATCTCATAGCCACCTCTGTTCATACGCTGACTGTTCGGGAATATTAACCTAAAACATTGTATTTAAGCTATAAATTTAATCAATAGGCAGAAACCAAAAATAATTGGCTGAAAAACAGTTGTTCCATGCTTTTCATTAATTCTGTAAAAATCTCACCTCAGTTCTTTTACAAACATCTTGAGCCTAGCACTAGGCTCTCTGGATGTGGTAATCATGATCTTCGGATCCTCGACACCTGCATATCTGTATTCATCGTCCTGTGAATTGAGTGTGTTTGCCCCACCACTGAATCCTCCGATTACTGCCACTCTTTCCGGTCCTAAAGATTTAAATACATGCTAAATTTATTCAGTATTGCCGATCCTATTCTGCAAATTTGGAGATTTTACCACAAACTTATTTAAGGAAATTCGCCTTTTATTTCCAATTTGAGGTTAGGACACAGTTTTGCTGTGAAATTTTCAATACTTCACTTACCTTTATCTTCATATTCAATTCTCTTCTGTAAAGCGATGGCATCCTTCCGTAAATCACCATGTATAGGTATATTCTCTTCAAGACTACGTTTGATTTGATCTTTTTTAGCTTGTATACTTTTTTGTTTTTCTTCAGCCGATTTCCGGTATAAATACTCGCGGCGTAATCGCGCCTGTCGTCGCAGCATTTTTGGTTTGTCGTTACTATAGTTGAATTCGATAACTAATTTTATTTTTGTATAAAAATGTTTCAAATGTTTGTTTGTAAAAAGCTACAAGGAACGCGGGTGACAATTGACAACTGACGTTTACGCACGTGTTGTTTTTTGTGATTGACATTTGGCGTTTCGTTTTTGCTATGTAATAGAATTTTATTACAAGATAAAATAACTTGCAACACATGAATAGACCTTAAAGTTGTTTTGTTTGGAAAAAAACCGGCCACGAGTCGTATGCACAGTTTTTTTTATCATTTGAGGATACATTGAGGAATAAGCAGTTTGCCTTTAAAAATTTTGCCCGGCGACACTACAGTGGTGTCATAAGCATATCTCCGAAATTTCAAGAAAGTAGGGGAATAGGCTTAAGAGAACTAATTAACTGATGAGATTAGTAACATTAAGTAAATTACAATTTCCCGATAATGTCAAGAATGGCCGGCGACAAGCCAAGTAATCCAAACAAGCGCTGCCACCGCAAAGTGGATAAATTTTTACGAGACGTGCGGACGGCACTTTTAAGTTCAAAACATAATTTATTTAACTCTCTTTTTTAATTGCTGGCTGTTTATTTAATGATACTCATCTCATATTTGCTTTCTTGCTTCAATAATCTCGATAATTTTCTCGCATAATGTTGTAAGATATAGAATAAGCTACCAGAATGAAATATTGTGATACATATTATTGACATTTAAAAACATACTATCCAGCCACAACTATTCTATAGGAAAAGCATCTTGTAAGGGGACAAGTTGAAAAAGTGTCCACCTGTATACAGCAAGTTATTGTTGGAAGACTCACCAAAATAGTGCTAGTGTAGGAAGTGGAAGAGATATGAATATAGCAGACTTAAAACAGAATGAAGTGTGCTGGATTAAAGTGAAGTGGGGTAGTATAGAGTGCTCTTTTTAAAATCCTTCCATTTGCCACTATGGCGCCACCTTCATGAACTCTCTTTCAGTGGACACTTTTTCATACACTGAGATGGTGCTTCTTATTTCTACTCCCTTCTATAGATAATATACATAACGATCAGTTAATGGTGGACAATTAAATATAAGCAATCATCGATTGTTCTGACTGCCAGAACCCAACACATAATAACATTATTTTGCTCACTTTAAATCAATGTTTTAACATGTTTAATTGTAATCTTTTATTTCAGATAAAAATGCTTACCATCATGATATTCTTCAACTAGTAATCTATAATGGGGCTTAATATCAATATTGTTACTTTCAAGTATGTTAAATAGATCATCAATATCCTCCTTTGAGTTCCGAGGTCTTATATTGAAAACATCACCAGGTTTGTAGGTTAAACTTTTAGCAACAGATTTGAATGATATTAATCTTACATCCTAAAAAAAATAGATCTATATTATATATATAATCACAATTTTACTTTTTTTTTTGGTTCTTAGATGGGTTAACGAGTAACAATGCTTATTATTTAATATGAGTCACAAAAACACTTAGCTACTGATAAATTGGTCTAATTATTTATTAGATCCAAGCCCACACAAGTGGATGCTGCTATTACGCTCATGTCTTTAATAGAACCACCCATTCCAGTTTCAACAGTTATGCTATAAGAATGAAATTGAAGCAAATCCTCTTTCTTCACCTTGTAGGGCAATAGCATTCACTTATCCTGTCTATGGATTCTAATAACCACCTAATATTAGGGTACAAGCACTATCTTGAGACTAGTCTTGTCGAAAAAAAAAAGGCAAATAATAACAATCATGTCAAAACAAACTAAGCGACTAAACTAAATCACTGAATCATTTTCTGGTCATAAATAAAAATTTACAACGTTTTATAACCTTGTTAAGAGTAGTGTAAAACTTATCAATTTGGCACACAAAATTTTGAGTCATTGATAAGAAGATCAAATATCACTTTGTAAAGATTCAGTCATGATTACATTATATATGATACTTTAATTCTATTGGTTTCTATTTCTAAGTAACTTAAATTGTCATAGATAAGGATTTTATTGAAAGAGTTTATAGCTCTTCTAAGGATCACAGAATCACATTAGCTAGTCGATATGTTTCACCCTTTAAATAAGTATCTCTCCTTCCATTGAAGTTTTTAAAAACACTTATAGGTCTACAAGAAAAGGCACTTTTCATAACACTGAATAATGAAGTACCTGAAAATGAGATTCATCCGTAGTTCTAACATTACTATCCACCTCCAACAAAAAAGCTTCTTGGTTATTGCTGTTTTCGTGACCAAAATATATATCTTCACAAAATCCACTTTTAACATCAGCTTTGTCCTTCAACATAGAGACCTTCCAACGAGGAATGAATTCTGATTTTACATCTGTCTGTATACTCGGAAAATATTCTTTGAGTCGTACGAAGTATTCTTTGATCCATGGGGAAACAACTCCATCGTGGCCCAGGTCATGCTGGTAGTCACATAAACCTACAAATGTTGTAAATAATTTTGTTCAAGAGGCTCTACGTAATCGTCTGGTCAGTATCAATAACTTTGCTAAGAATATTTGCTACTCGAAGTCTAGGGATATTTTGCCTTGTCTTATGTGTTTGCAGTACCAAAGAACATATTTGCTTAAGTAGTTGAGTAAGGATATTTTTTGTTACAATGTTCATGCAGTTAGTGATTTGAGTTTAATAATATGCCATCACAATGTTTAATTTTGTTTTTTTTCGTTCAATTCATTACTTTTTATGTGTAAAATTATTTTATCTTTGTTATTTAACAAAAAAAAACCCAAATGAATAATATTCAACTTACTTAATAAAAAATAAAGTTTGATTCAGAAGTTAAAACGGCTTATATTTTAAGTACTTACCAACATCTATTAAAGGTCTGGCTCCTAATTGAATGAGGCGCTTGTGAAGCTTCTTAGCGACAAAATTGAACTCTGAATATGAAGAATCTCCTAAGCCCAACACTCCAAATTTCAATTTAATTAACGAATTCGCCGGTAGATTTTTCCTCAACAGAAACTTCCAGAATTTCTTCATATTATCCGGTTCATCACCTTGACCCGTCGTAGCGCACACAAATATCGCAAATTCTTCATGAATCAGCATAGAAATAGGATACTCGTTCATCGCTTGAACGGGCCCGCGAAAACCCAAAGCTTTTGTCGTACGCCATATTCTTTCGGCTATTTCTTGAGCCGTGAATGTCTGACTACCGTACAGCACCGTCAGTCTGCCTATTTGACACATAATTAATTAATGAAATTGAAATTAATGAGAAAACTTTAAAGAGCTTTAAGGAAACGATAGTTCTGAAAGGTTTACTCCATTGTCAAAATAGTCAAAATGTCAAATTCTTATTCGTTTGGCAGGTTTTATTTTGGCATTTAGTTGTCAAACGTTTTGTTATCATTCTGGCAAAAACCCGCATCGGGGTGAATACCACTATATCCAATTTGCGCATGCATTTAGTATTATATTGCTCTCTACATCTACATTAAACGGAAATAATACAAACACTTCCCGAAAATTCTTACTGTATTGGCAGTAGTCTTTATTTAAACGCTTTATAAGACCTTTTGGTGCGGCATTGTTGTGATGTAAATTATAAGTTATTTATCAACTATGGGCATTGACAAGAGTCCGTGAATATAAATTTGTGTTGATAGGCTAAGTCAAAGAATTTCCCCTAAAAGGCAAGATATAATATTATAAGACCTTAATAAGGCCTGCCGTCTTGAATAGATCAGCTTGTTGGACCACTAAAATGGCGAATGAAAGGCGATTGCATGCAGCAGAGTGCGCGTTTGAAATGGTATGGACATGTGATGAGACAAAATGAAAATGAAGTTGGTAAGAGAATGTTAACTATGAATGTGGAAGGATATAGAGGAAGAGGTAGACCTAAGAAGAAATGGATGGATTGCGTGAAAGACGATAGAGGAGTATGGAAGGAGAAAAAAATGTTGCGCCGACCCCAGGTGACTGGGAGGAGGGCAGGAGAATGATGATGATGAGGCTAAGTCAAAAAATTAAGGAATATAGAATGGAGTGGGTCTTTAATGGTTTTGTAGGTCGATATTCCTATCATTTAACAGGACGAATACAGGTGAAGGCGAACTATTGGCGCGCACTATCTATGTGGTTTTAGGACTATTAGGTTTCGTCGAACTGGAGTAATAGAGCTCGATTGTTACCCCACTCTACCAGATACCCAACCTTAAACGAACTCCCCGGCGTTAAAAAAAAGGTTGATATTCTTGTCGATTGTTATTAAATCAAAGCCTTGAATAAATTGCCTGATTTTTTTTATTTCAGAAAACAAATTTTATTTATTATGAATGGCGTTGATGTTACACTACATCTATTATTGAAAATATTGAAAATTGTAACTGTTAAACTAAGCCCCAAATGGCTATTGAATTTTTTAAAGTTTCTTTAGAGTGAAATGCTTATATTGACTGTCACGACTTGGCTTATTACTGGTTTTCGGTATGGCGTTCACTTTAGGCGCATCCTGGATACGAAACAAATAAATTTTCTAAATGAATAAAGAACAACAGCAACATTTAGTTGAACAAAAGTAAAGGACTTTTCTCTTCCGATTCTTCTAAAACACCAAGGAAGCTTCAATAAACTTGCACAATTTTATTAAAAGCACATAAAATAATTAAGATATCCTAAAAAGTCGAGTAATTAATAGCCGCAAACAAATTGATAAAAAAATTGATTTACATAGGTCTCGAATTTTGATCATGCAGTAGACAACCCTAGTTCCACCCCGTTCAATACGGCAATCTTCTTTGTCATTCCTATTACCGATGTGATTTCCCATCTTGCTCACATCCGGCGCGCGGCAGTCTCGCGGCCTGTGTTTCAGTGCACACTCGCTCCTCAAGAAAAGAGCGGGAAAATATTTATATAAAATTAAATAGGTAGTGTAGTGTTTTTCGACTCTACGAAATGTGAGTATTTTATCCTTTTAATTTGGATTTACAATTTTAAATTGCACATTTATTAAATAAAACATTATAGATAATTAAAAGTAATGTCATTTAATGAAAATTGGTAGACGCTTTGTTATATTATGTTATATTGTTATATTAATCAATATAATTTTCTAAAGAATAAACGTGGATCAATAAAACGCTGTCAGTAGACCGGGCGGTGTACACACGTAATTCCTAATAATTATTTTTCGTAAATTCATGGAACATACATATTGAAAGCTGTTGGGACAAAAATGTATTTAATAATTTTAATATTCAGTTTAAAACGTTTAAGCTACTGATTGTTAAATTTGAATTATAAAATGATCCGAATGTGTCAATTTATGCAAGGAAAGAGTTTATTTAGTTGAAAAATAATATGAGTACCATTAAGGAAATTTAAATACATCGAATGATATTTAGCGAGTTTATTAATATCTTCAGTACGTTTAGAATCGAGCTTATCGTAATTCGTATGATGATTATTATTTGAAAAATTCGGACAATAACATATATCATATTTCTATTGGTAATAACATATTTCTATTTATCATACGAAATAATATTATGTTTTCATAACAATCATACTATAGGATTAGCAGAATATCGAGAGTTGAAATACTTAAAAATTGGATTTAGATTAAGGAAAAGTGTAGATAAGTACCGTTCTATCCAGATCCTTTTTTAACTTCATAGATAAATTAGCCTATTGTCCACTTAAATGCAAATAGTTAACGTTATTCAGGAACATCACTAAAAGCATGTCAAAAGCGCTGCATAATGTTACGGACTCTGCCAAAAACTCACCTGATTTATTTGATTGAATTTATACAATTACCTTGAAATTCTGAGGGATTTAATACAAATTTTGGTTTTCTAATATTATCTAAAGTATATTCCCGCCAAATTTGGCCGTTAAACGCAATATATCTAGAGATGTTACGTCAGCCCAGAGCACGTGGCTTCATCGATTTACCCCCACTCCACACGACCCTTGCGCCTGAAATGTCTTTTACCTTTGACCTCAGTTTTCAGATGATTATATTTTTGGTGTAATAATAATTATTTTATGTATCGAACATAATAAAATTACATATTAAATTTAATTTGAAAATAAATAATCAACGATTTAGAGTAGAATGAGTAACTACTTAATACCATACTCTTGATACTTCTAAGGGTTTCCCTGGTCACAGAAACACTGCTATGGCTTAATCTTGCATATTAATGCTTTTAATTAATTATTCTATTTTTCATCGGTTATAATTAAAAGAAAAGTCTGTAAAGAACGAAAAAAAAAAAAAGAAAAAAATCGTAAAGCTGATTTTTAATCGCAACTATGTTTCTGTAACGCTTAGTTAAAATTAAAGATTTTGAAGAATTCGCTTAGTTAAAATTAAAGATTGTAGTAAAAAAAATTTGAGAATTTCTGTTTTATTATTTTAACAATCAATTTCGCCGTACGCTTTGAAGGTACAGAAGAATGAAAAGCTCAACAAAAGCTAGCCAAAAGTTGCTGGCTGGCTAGATTTCGGAAGCTCTGGGTCTGCGGAGGGACTTCGGTTTCCTTTGTATTTTGTACCGTATGTCCCATGGGGAGTGCTCGTTTTTACCATCGCACTGCCCGCCACCGGAGTAGAGTTCATCCATACTACCTAGAGCCACAGCGGTCATCCTCAGTGCGTTTCCAGAGGACTTTTTTGCCACGTACCACCCGGCTATGGAATGAACTCCCCTCCACGATGGTTCCCGAGCGCTATGACATGTCCTTCTTCAAACGAGGCTTGTGGAGAGTATTAAGCGGTAGGCAGCGGCTTGGCTCTGCCCCTGGCATTGCTGAAGTCCATGGGCGACGGTAACCATTCAGCATCAGATGGGCCGTATGCTCGTTTGCCTACAGGGGCAATAAAATGATTGATATTTGAAGCTGATAATTTCCACTTTAATATCGTAATAACTCACGGAACAGTGTCCATTGGAACAAGCCTATTAGGCTTACAACAATTACGGTCTAGAAAACAAGCGACCTTGATATAAAGATATATCTAAATTACATTCGCGTTGACTTTCTAAAACAATCAATTGTTGCGATTCAATTTGTTGTGTGCAAAGTATCTATCTACTTCGTTACTGTTTTAGATTTGCATCGTAGTATTTCGTCTACAATATTGAAGTGAGTATACTCAATAATCAATACATGTCCGAATATATTTTTTATTAAAATAATTAACATATTTTTAATTTGAGTAAAATTTTATAAAATATTAAAATATTCAAAATACGGTTATAAGAAAAAAAAAGAAAAAGGTAACAGGAAAAAAGTATCGGTTATCTGAAATGCATAAATTATAAAAAAAAAAAAAAACATATTACGCGCCTTTTTTAAAAAAAAGAAAAAAAAGTTTATATTTCGTTTATTGTATACGATCAAATTTATTATCACAGAATCAATTTACTTAAATAGAATTCTTTCAATGATCTTTTTAGAGTATCACAATTTTCCCACTTATTTATTTATTTTTTATTTAATATATTTTGTACACACAGCTGTTAGAAAAAAAACACGACACTAAGGATACAGAGTACAAGGGCACTACTTATTTCATGTTGAAATCTCTTCAAGTAGGCCCACAAAAGGAAAGATGAATTAGGGACACAAACCTAGTGCATACAGTAATAATAATAATATATACATATTACAAGATACAAAACAATATATATATACATACATACAAAAACGTTTTTTTATTTAACGTTAACATTAACAGTACCAAAGTTCATACATATTAAATACCGTCTCATTACAAAAGATTAAATGCTAACGGGTCATTTGTATATAAATGTATTAAGAAATGTGACCTTGGATATCTAAAAAACTAGAATGTCTAAGACGCTCCGAACACAGAACGAAAATTATCTGATCTACCCGGTTGTTACGTAATGAATTAGTGAAAGTTATATTTATTTAGTTCAAGTTTGAAAGGTGTCTTACATTTAGAATAGGTAGTTGAAAATATGTAACAACATTGAATATGAATGAAAATTAATTTGTAGGTCAAATTTTTTTTAATTGCCGTTTAGGCAGATAAACTTACGGCCCACCTGATGGTGAGTGGTTACTGTCATGGACGTCAGCAATGCCAGGGGCAGAGCCAAGTCGCTGCCTACTCTTTAATACTCTCCACAAGCCCCGCTTGAAGAAGGACATGTCATAGCGCTCGGGAAACACCGTGGAGGGGAGCTCATTCCAAAGCCGGATGGTACGTGGCAAAAAAGATCTTACAATGCTACGTGGTAGTACGTGGCAAAAAAGATCTTACAATATTAACGGCCGTCTGGTGTAGTGGTAAGTGACATGGTCACTACACGAGGGGGTCGCGGGTTCGAATCCCGCCAAGGGAAGATATTTGTATGATAAATATAAATGTCTTTTCCAGGGTTATGGATGTATATTAAATATATGCATGTGTATAGTAAAAATCTTTTATTTCCGTTATCTGGTTGGTACTTGTAACACAAGTTCTTTACGAACTTATCACGGGACCAGTTAACGTGGCGTGAATATTTAAAAAAAATATATTTAAGCGTGAATGAAAACGAACGCGTAAAAATGCGCAGAAGATTAATGTGAATGAAATTTAATTGCAGCTACAAATACGTCAAACATAAATCAGAAGGGGGGGGAGGTTCTACTGTTATATAATGCAATTGATACTTGGGATTTCATGTCTCATTTTGGATGCCGCATTCACGATCAGCTCTTTTTTTTTTATTGCTTAGATGGGTGGACGAGCTCACAGCCCACCCGGTGTTAAGTGATTACTGGAGCCCATAGACATCTACAACATAAATGTGCCACCCACCTTGAGATATAAGTTTTAAGGTCTCAAGTATAGTTACACAAGTATAGTACACAAGTATAGTTACAGCTCTTGCACTAGACGCCTTCAGCTCAACACTAGGAGCAGGCTCAGAGATCCCGGTAATCGTACTCGTAGAGTTCAAAAAAATCGATGCATCAGCCCGCTGAGTTTGTCGTCGGATCTTCTCAGCGGGTCGCGATTCCGATCCGGTAGTAGATTCATCCGCGAAGCAGTTGCTCTTGAGTTGTTAGGTCTCCTTTGGAGGCGCTCGGGCAACTGTTAGCAAATCCCACCCCTCCTGAGCCATTGCTCGCCCACCCGTCCTGGTGAAACTGGAAAGGTCTCTGCGTCACCAGTAATCCGTCATTCAAAAAAAATATATTCACGTTGCGATATCATGGCCTCCTATACCTATCAGATCTAATAACAGCAGAAGAGCAGTAAGCTAATTCACTCATATACGCAATAAACACAAAAATCACTTCACGAACACTTAATTTATCTCCGTATTACATAACGATATTTTGTAACAAACAATATTTGTTTTTGACTCAAAACTTGCAGCTGATTCAATTTTCTAGGCCATCTGACCTTTAACATTAACGAGATAGCTTATTCGACAAATACATGACTTAATAGAATGCAGATAAGTTGAATAATGTTTATTTTACTAGTGCACTGTATTGCTAAGTAGAATATAGACGTGCGTGTTTTTTTTGCCCGCAATGTTTGCGCACAGGGATTTTTAAATGTTTTTATTCATTTTTATCAAGGATCGTTCCGATGTTCATCTTCTCTTTTGTTCTATGTTTTAAATGTCATCTGAGAGACCTTGAGATCTGAGATCTTATCCTCAGTCGTATAGTCAAACGGCTTCGCGACAGATATAGGCAGGGAGATGGTACAGGTGTGGACTCACAAGAAGCTCTACCGCCGGTAATGTGTGACTTCTCCAAGTTGCAATCTGAGTTCCACTCACAACACATTCGATCTTGTCACACTCTGGGCGTATCGTTAGAAAAGGACGAAGAGTATACAATCATTTATTTTAGTACACAATCATTACCGAGATAAATGAATAGCCAAAATTATAAATCATTAAGTAAAAATAAG